GGAACATGAATCCACTACTCTAGAGAGATTCAATGGCCCCTACAGCCTAGGGTATCCCTAAGGTTCACAAAGAAGGTGTCCCTCTAAGTTTAATTGTAAATAATAAAGGAAGCGTGATGCATAAATCTTACGTTTTTTATGCATACAATAAAGGAAAACTGCCAATTTTTGGCTATATTCAGTTAAAAAGTGGTATGAGTTTGGAAAATTTAATGATCAACAAATAACTTTAGAAGAAGATTGGCTAATGAGTTTTGATGTTGCATCTATGTACAAAAACATTCCTGTTCAAGGAGCTGTTGGGTTCTAGTACATAGACTGGAGAAGCATCCAGAGATCACGCAAGTAATAAGGTTAAGCATAGCAGCGTCCATAGATAAACTTCTTAATCTAACCATGAATTGCACCTATTTTACCTTTGATGACAAGTTGTATAAACAAACTTAGGGGCTTGCGATGGGATCTTGCCTAGCTTCCATCTTGGTGAACAAGTATATGGCAAGAATGGAGGAACACTTCCTGGAAGGACAACACTAACCCCCAAATTGTTGGTTAGGTATATGGATGACTATATTTTCATCTGACGTTATGGTAAGGAAAGTTTAGATAGTTTCCTACTTTCACTTAACCATCGTGAAAGGAACATTAGTTTCACAATGGAAATATAAGAGAATAGGCCCTTACCCTTTTTGAATGTTGTTTTTTATTAGAGAAGAGGATAATTTAGGAATAGATGTTTATAGGAAGCCAATATATGTTGGCTCTTGGCTTAATTTTCTTTCTAACCATAGTTACAAAACTAAGACTGGAATTTTGAAGTCAATGATTATTAGAAGAATGAGGCTAGCGGTTAAAATCGTTTGACTAAAGAGTTGGAATGACTAAAAAATTTATTGCTGGAAAATAATTATCCTTTAGGCCTTATTGAGAATAATATCTCTTTACGGAGGAATAGATTTTCAGACGAAGATTATTTAGTCAAAGATAGACAAGAGGAGACCTATTATCATGTTTTAACTTTGTTGTCATTTCCTCTTTTATAAAAGATATGCGAAATAGTGAGAAAGTAGGGGATAAAAATAGTAGTTGTTTGACCTTGTTTTCGCAACTCGGTCATATTGGTAGGAAGACTTAAAGAAACGCACCTAGTCCGG